ATAATAATAATAATAATAATAATAATGATTTAATAGCATTTCCACATAGTGGCTCTTCTATGCTACAAGTGAGTTTGATTATAAGATAACAAAGTATGCCATATATACAACGGAGTACATAATACGACACAACAAGTATTACAATACGTAGTATGTTGTACATTACAATATTTAACAATTGACATTATTAGTATTTAACAATTGACATACACAGTAAAATACAGTATAGTTATATACACAATGTCAACAGAGTTTACGACGTGTCACTAATTCTGTTTTTGACTAATGTTTTGAAGTACTCGGAGGAGGTTCTGCAATAATTTTTAAATGTATCGCAGTTTCGAATTTCTTCAGGTAAGGAATTGAACACTCGAGCTGCTTCATCTTGGAAGGTTCCAGAGATAATAGGGACTACTAGACGCCGGGCAGATGATGATCGTAATGGTCTTATAGGAATATATTCCTCTAATTTTAAGTATGTAGGCCAGTCATCACAATTCATTGCTTTGTATGCTAATTTGGCAAGATGATAATTCCTACGTTCCAAAATTGGAAGCCAACCGAGAGACATGACATCAGTGAATCTAGCGTACCTATTAAATACAAAGCCAGCAGCAGCGAACTGCACTCGTTGTAAGCGTTTTAATAGGTATTCTGGTACTGGACTAGACACGACATCGTTGTAATCAATTTTTGATAGCACCAGACACTCCGCGAGTTGCTTCCGAATTTTAAATGGTGCCAAATGTTTCAATTTTCTCAAGACGGATGATGTCGCGTAACAACTTGAGATCTTTTTGTTTACATCATCATTCCATTTTAAATTTTGATGCAATGTAGTACCAAGAAGAGCCGCACATTTAGTTCTTTTAAGTTCAATTCCATTAGCATGAAGATAAACAGAACGATATTCATGAAGTTGGTGCACACGAGAGAGTTGACTAGTCGAGAAAAGCATGACTTTTGTCTTATTGGGGTTAAGAACAAGGTTATTAGAACTAGACCAGGTGGAAAGTTTATCTAGATTGGATTGAATTTTCTCTTCACATGACTTTATGTCAGCTGGCTTACAATGTGCATAGATGGTAGTGTCATCGGCATACTGATGTGAAGATATAGAGTCGTCAAGGTTTTCAGAGAGGTCATTGACATATAGATTGAAGAGTACAGGACCAAGTATAGACCCTTGTGGAACTCCAAAACAAACGTTAGTTGTGTTTGACACTGCGTCGTCTAAAATGCATGATATGAACGACAAAATGCATGAATAACAAAATACAGAAATATATACCAACCCACGACTCAATGGATTTTGGCATAATAAGATATTTAATGGATTTTAATCAACGTCCTTGAATTTGCGATTTTTTTATGTCAAAGTTCACAGATGATCGCGCTAGGCCGAGGTCTAAAGCGCATCACACATATTTCAGCCCTTCATGTTGCATGGCCCTTCATCGCCGTATATAGGCTTATTTGTATCGTATACTGTATAGAAGCTATATATGTACGTCATGCAGTGCCGACAGTAGTATATAACGACCGCCGTAGAATGAAGAGGTGGGCCGAACAAAATACAATGATAACTGTCTTCTTTTATTATTCTTACTAGTAATAAATACATTATTTTATCGTAGTAAAGTTCGTGCGATATTTTCTTACTAATAAATACATTATTTTATCGTATAGTAACGTTCTTGCAAATCTTTCGGTCAATTTATGAAATTTACAATGGGGCAAAATAAAGAAAATACCTACCCAGTCAAACTTTGTTTTACGTGGCTTTTCGTTGGACGAAATGTGACGCGTATAGTAGTCCAAAAATCACAAAATTTGCGCATATGCAATGGCAACGGGCAACACCAGATTATTGTGCTATACGAAAAACTCACAAATCCATAATGATTCTCATTATTATAGAAACGCAGTTTTATTTTTAAGGGGAGACCATTTTACTATACAATGTTGTAAAACCAAGCTTTGTGCCCTCTTTACCGCTTGCTTTTCTTTGTCTTACCCCTACCAGCAACGGCGTTTCTGAGGTCATGCACAAAATATCTTGTTTACCTCGGACTCGGTATATAAATAAATATTTATTGTTTTTATTTTGCGTCTAGATCTTCACGTGTATTATTACTATATCAAGGTAACCTTTTTACTTCTAAATTCAATGTTTAATTAAGCCACTACTTTAATTTGTATATAGAAGATTGTATATAATGGAGAATTTTGCGTTTGCTTCCCATTCCTTTCTCATGCGTAAATTATAGAAGACAGAGCTAATGGGGTCGGTATTGGATTTCGTTTATGATGTTAGTAATTAATACGGTATATTATTATTCGTTTTATTATTCATCACAATTGTGAGCCATTACGGTGCACTCTAAAGAAACTTACAAAATTTGTACTTCTTTTACCTAAGTTTTAAATAGTCCCCATCACAGTGTTTACAGTAATATATTGTAGATCAGTAATTATCGACGGAACTTGTTGGACCTTTTATCTCTTTATCAACTTGTATTACGTTTGTAAATATTATTATTCAATACCGATTAAATTCTTGTTTGAATAGAGATCCAAGTTTCCGACTTGACATTGTGCTATGTTCTGACATTTCGAGTTTGCCGATCCATGTTTCAAGAATACAGATCTAGTTAACCGGGTAATTTTGACCAAGGGAAAATTAAATTTGTTCGTGTTAGCGAGGAGTTAGAGTAAGCGAGTTCGAGAATCGATATCGCAATTGTGTAAAGTATGTAAATATTATTAACGATGCAGTGAAACCTTTGAATCATGCATGTTTTTTGTTGTGCATAATTTTCGATGTTTACAGTTTTAAATTTAATAAAGAAACCACTTTGTCTTTGATGTGAGCGGAGCATTGCATGACTATCGCCCGTATTCTAAAAGCTCACTCACACTCACACTCAATGAGTGGAGGTTCAATCTGAGCTTCTCTTGAATGTCAATGCTGTTTTTGAATAGCTGAAGGGCGAGTAGTCACCGAGTAAGGTATGGCACTAGCCCTCCAGCTATTCAAAAACAGCATTAACACTCAGGAGAAGCTCAGATTGAACCTCCACTCATTGAGTGTGAGTGAGCTTTTAGAATACGGGCGTAAGTCTATGAAATAAGAGGGTGTTGATGGGGTATACCGTGAGTCGTGATTCACTCAATTTTGGTTACCGTTAGTCGTGAAAACACTAGCTAGAAATTTAGCGTGCGTCGTGCGGAAAAAATACCGTTTATCGTTTCGGAACACTTTTCAATATTTACCGTTAAAATACCAAAATGTTACTTATGGTTACCGTTAAAATACGAAAATTTTTACTGTTTACTGATTTTCAGAACCCCCATCTAGACCCTCTAATAAGATTTCGAATCAAGTAAATTATTACACTATAATACTGTATTTCGTTGTTTATGTTTGAAATAGCTGCCACAAATCTCCAATGTACATGTTCTTCTATAAAATTTTTCGATGGAAAGTAAAATAGATAAAGTTATGTTGGTTTACTATAATGCTATACATAATGCTATACATAATGCTATACATAATGCTATACATAATGCTATAAAAGGTCTTGGTAAGGTCATATATAGATACAACACATATACAGAATGGAGTGTAATAAGACCTCCCTTCACTGGCAAAAACTGGACCGTCCCCATGCAACCATTAGATTTTGTTGATTTATTAGCACAAAAATCGTTAGATCATGAGATTATTCTGAGTGAATTTCTACTTGGTTTGTTCATAGGTCGTCCCAACAAGTATTAAAATGCTGAGTTGGCGAAATGTATTAAAGACAAACCAATACTCCGTTACACAAAGGGTGAGTATTCGTACATTCTTGCTCTGCAAGTTACGTCATCGCCGCATTGTTCGATGAATTTAACAAAAGGTTTTCCGTGTTTGCAATCCCCTTCCATAAGATTGGTTGCACAAGAAGCACCTATCGCTAGACATTACTGCATGTTTTTATGACGCTGCTTTTGACCTTTCTTGACATACAGTATATTGACATCTTTTGTGCTCCTCTCTATTACCAGAGAGATTTGACTTCCGCTACCATTAAGGGACCATTAACCAATCAGGTGCATTTTATATATCTGATTAACCAATCAGATACATTACTAAGCCAGTGAGGGGTAGGGATAGTGGAACTCAAATCTGAATCTCTCTATTTCGTATGAAGTATACTGCATGTCGAAACATTAATTTCCTTCGATAAAACGTCAACCATTAATAATGTATCAATTACAACACGTATTAGTATCACACTTTCTATAATCATATTTCTAAAGCATTGTAGAGTAGGTTTTGTCAATCTGCTATAAATTTTTGGTGAACCAAAACTAAACTCAATGTGCGTCGGATGGTCGTATCAGTTTTAAGGGAGGTTCTTTTATTTAGCATGCGCTATACTACGTGGAAACCCGAGAACCCAGAGAATATCTACGGTTTGAGAGTGTCAAACTCTTAGCACTCCCCCCTGAACATGTCACCTATAGGCAAAATTAAAATTAGACAATTGCATACTGCAAGAATCGAACTCCGATCATAGAGGCGAAAGGCACATCAGCCAACACTCTACATTTCAATGTCATTCTTGTTTTCAAATCTCTAATTGTTGTGGGCAGTGCATGTATTTATTTTCCTTGTTGTCGTAGAAGAAAAACGCCTTGAAAAGTAAACAACTTCCAGGAGAATAGTAGCTACACGCAACCTTACCTGAGTGCATGGTCTTAGTTGTATCTACTCTAATTCTTGTTTAATTTTTTAGTCGCGAAAAATTAATCATGTTGGTGGAAGCCATGGTGTTTCTGGTAAGTGTAAACATTGCATGAGTTCACCGTAGCTCGAAATGCATAGCCTAGTGTAATCACTGTACATTTTGAACGTTAAATTAGTTCTCGGATAACTAAGACAGGAAATTGCTAGAGCACGCCACCCTCGATGTGCGTACATTTAATTTTAGTGCTATCTTTGCTCTTACACAATCTCTCACTCTTTAGCCAATCTTATCCTATGGTATCAGCATCACATTGATTCCAGAAATCTGTTGTTTTTTTAGGAGTCTTTTTCAAATATGATCTTTCATCGATTTTGGTCCGTGTGGATGAAGTTCATCGGCCATTCTGGCAGTTCTTGGTTAGGCTATGTGGCATTGTGGGCGGAATCTTCGCCACTTCTGGTGAGATGACCAACGTTATTTTAATACTGTATGTTTATAGTGATTGGTTAAGAACCGTGTTTCTACAGGTATAACTATCGAGAAAAAACACGGTAATTACCCGCTGCAGCAATAGTGTCGAGTAGCTTTCTTGTAATATCGTGAAAGAATGGAACATAAACCTTCCAAAAATCTGTCTCTACAAACAGAGGAAATTTGTCATGCCCTTTGGGCTCGTTTTCCCGCCAATCAATTTTATTTTTCACCCGAACTTCCACACTTTCTGTAAATTGATGAGTGGAAACAACGAAGATGTTTTCTATTGCTGAATTTGTTTGTTGTTTGTAGCATTTACTTCAACACGATTAAATTCGCAGCATAGCTGATGTGGTCGTGCATTTACATAGTTATGTGCCTAACCCATCCTGTCAACTTTCCCTGTGGGAGGAAACACGGAGTGCCCGGAGAAAACCCACGACTTTCGGCAGAGCGTTGACTTACTCTTTTCACATTAGGACTGGGTTCCAGTCACAATGAGAAGTCCTCATCGAGATTCGAACCTGCGGCCTTAGAGGTGAAAGGCAAGTGCGCTAACCACTTCGCCACCGAAGCCCCTAGTTTAATTAGAGTTCTATGGGATGGTACCAGACAGTAATCTGCCGGATACTGGTCAGGGAAAAATAGTAACTGGATACCAGATAATAACTGGACACCGGATATTAATGATGATACTTGGACAACACCTACGTATTTTCTCCCATAATATAGTCCATTGTTTAGTATATATGTGGGAAGTTCACATCACGAAAACAATTTCTGCATGCCCAGTAATTTTCTGCATGCCCTAGCAAAAGTTCCAATACTATCCGGTAAATATCTAGCAACATTTTACTGGATACTGGATACTTCACGATGTCTTTATTTTACAGGATCCGTTGTCACCGGAATTTCGCCCGCCAGGAGGGCAATATCAATAATAAGGGGCGAATATCCTAGGAATATTGCCCCCCAGGGGATCGAATACCCTAGGAATATCGCCCCCCTTTAGGAAATTCGCCCCCCTCCCCATATAAGTTTTGAATTTTTCATCTAAAAACAGTATAGTACTAAATACCATAAACAAGATCTATATATAAGCATTATACCCAACCAATTCAATTATTTTCAATCAATGTGAATGAATAGTTTTGTGAATAACGTCTGCGCAGGAGGCTACATCGGTAGAGACAAGTAGAATTTTTGTGCTCTTAATAATGAAATTAAACGGTTTGATTATAAAAAAACATATAGTTTATGCATTTGTCAGTTAAAAAAAACAAGTTTTGACAATACCAATAATTACAATAACCAAAATGGTGATTACTTTTTAACAATGAGTTTAAGGATTAACACTGAAAATGCAAAATATGCATGATGTGCTGTGAAGCGTCACAAGTCATATTGATCTACTGTAAACCCTTTCGATACATGTAATTGTAAATTTGTATTCATAACAATTTTGAATTGATATTGATTTCAAATGACGAAACCCATGTAATAATTATCCCCTGCAACTGTTAGGAAGGGCGGAATTTTCAACGAAGGACGAAAATCCTAAAAGGAAAGGTGAAATTTCTAAAGGGAGGCAAATTTCCTAAAGGGGGGCGAATTTCCTAGGAATTTCGCACCCTACCCCCGGGAGGGCTATATTACTAGGAATTTTGCTCCCCAGGGGCTGGGTCTTAGCTAGGATTTTAGATCTTGGGCGTGTTTCTAAATGACCATGGTGTGCATATGTCAATTACCTCAAATAGCCAAATTCACGGTTCTAGTTATGCTCGCAAACAACAGACAATACCTGCGGTTGTTCTATGCTTTGCAACCAAATACAAGGCGAGCATACGCTCATATTGCGCACTGACATTAAAATATTAAGTTATTTCAGCAACTCTTAGGGGTACTTAAAACCATTTTAACACCATACAGTCCCATTATCCATCAAAACATTAAAACATTAAAACATCACATGCAGATCACTTTTGCCAATTTCAACAACAACCGTAGATTTTACAAACTTTCTCACGACCTACAGTAAATATGAAGAAATTCTGTCCGTTATTTTATGAACCTAAACGGCCTTATATAAATAATGAAACCGCGTTCATTTTATCTAGCCGACTGTAGCCGTGTTTTTCCCTTTTTGGCCGCGATAACACGGCCAACACGACCCTCTAGCTAAGACCCTGCTCCCCTGGGGGGGGGGGGGGCGAAATTCCTGAAACACCGGCACAAAGTGACATTCCTAATATACATGCAGCAGCACTTATACAAAAAGTATTTGTTTTATACTCATATTATATATTCGCGTTGTAGGTATGCTTCATTCACTTGTTGGATTTCTTGTAGAAAAATTATATTGCAAGTTTAACAAGGAAAAGGTAAACAGTGATATCCAGCTACTATGCCGTCTGTGGCATAGATTATAGATCATACCAGATGTCTCACTCAGCCAAAATTGTGTCCGCGATTTTTTATGAGCACGAATTGGCCGCCATTTTGGCAGTAAGTTTAATCCACGCCATGAAACGTGAGCAATCACGTACTTTGGCAGTAAGCGCCATTTTGGCAGTAAGTGTCGCACGCGTCATCTGGCGTGATAGCCTCGCGAAAATCGCGGACACGAAAATCATATGTAAATGCAATTATATGTAAAGTCTGTGAAGGAAGAGACTTGAGAGGCTTTGGGGGAAATAAAAGTGAATCAATAACATGCAACTGTACAAAACTGCATGTATGTGTAATCTGTGTTGATGCATGTTAATTAATTGGTAGACATGCTTGTGATGTTACTCTGAGTGCATATCCACACCGGGTAGACTTGAAAAATATGCCTGGCCACGGTGGGAATCGAACCTACGACCTTTGGAATACCAGCCCAATGCTCTGCCAACTAAGCTACGTGATCAGGTCGGTTCGAGTATGTGATATTTCGGAACTGAGTCTAGTTCCTTCTATATTACATACTCGAACCGACCTGACCGCGTAGCTCAGTTGGCAGAGCATTGGGCTAGTATTCCAAAGGTCGTAGGTTCGATTCCCACCGTGGTCAGGCATATTTTTCAAGCCTGCCCGGTGTGGGTATACACTCAGAGTAACATCACAAGCATCTTATTCACCTGAGTCACACCAACACAGCAAATATCATAATTGGTAGACAATTACAATTTTATAGCAATTCAAATTAATTTGTCGGGTGCAAACCAGGTCTGAACATTTATTGACAACTTTATTTTCTCAATCAGCGATACATACTAATAGAAACCAATGCTTGATTATAATGAATTTGTTTATTGATATCGACGAAGACTGTCGGGTAATGGCAGAGAAAACCCATATTTTAACAGAATGTACTGAAACGTCTAAATCCTTAAACACAGCACACTTCCATTAACAAGAAGTGTAAACGCCTGTAAATAATTGAATGTTTGAGATTCGAACAAACGTTTCGCCAAATTCATTAACGATAATATTAATTTCTTATTTTTATATCCAGGAGCCAAAGACTGAAAGTGTGGGAGACTCTCATGATTCTTCGATTTCTAATCATCTCGTGCCAAATTCTAATGGTCCTAACAATCAACCAGTAATATCGTAGTACGTTATATCACATGCACTTGTATACGTAGCAACACGCGAGTATGGGGGTCGGCACGAAGCTCTAGGAAGATGTTCTGTGACTGGTTGATTATGACAATGACAAAAGAATAAGCTACAGAATGGATTTTCTAAAGAACGAACTACGAAACAAGAACAATATTCCTTTTGTTTATGTAAGCCAATTACGTCTTTTGTCATTGTTATAATCAACCAGTCACAGAACATCTTCCTAGAGCTTCGTGTTTACTGGGGTATGGTGGCCGGGTCATGTCTACAATACGTACCCTGCTAGCTGGAAAACATTTGTGGATTCTTGTTACCTTCTAGTTCCACTGATCTTGAAAGAATACTGGATTGAGTATGTATATTGAATAAAAATGAGCCCCATAAGTCAGGCATTACTATGACCAACAGATAACGTATCATGGTTGAACATCATTGCATGTACACATTTTTGTTGTAGTTTTGGCATCGTTTCTTTCAAAGCAGAAGAATTAATGATATTTTCTTCTTGTGTTTGGTGTCTTAGTAATGCGTGATTTCTATTGCCTTAGCAATAACACCGCGGTCAGACGTCCGCGTGTATTAACTGCTTGTATTCAAAAGACTGGAAATACTGTCGTATTGTCTTCACGAAGCTCTAAAGGTTTAAAGAAAATTACAAATGTTTAAAATCAGTATACCTTCGTCTTGACACAAGGAAAAAGCGGTGAAATTCCCTATCTTATAGCTTCAGCCATTTCCTTATAGTAATTAAACGCTTTTCTTTTCCCGTATGTGCTTCTGTTATTTTGGCAGACATTTTTCTCGCCATTTCCGCATACTCGCGCATGCGCTTTACGTTTGACCGCGGTGTTTCTAGCATCGCTGAACTAGCTTCATTTACTGCACCAATAGGTAATGGCCATTGGTGCATGTAGCTCTATCCATTTTTTCATTATACATTGCTCATTCCAGGAGATTCATTAATAGTGATTTTATCATGGGGAAGTGCTGACGTACAGTATATGGTACTTTCGCACGGTAATTAATTTGTTTTCACATCGCGAACGGGCGAATGCAATGAGGGGGAGTGAATTTTCCGAAAACAAATTAACAAGTGCGAAACTATAATGCAAAAGCACTTCCCATGAACAAATTTGCTTGTACTGAACTTCTTTTCCGTTGAAAACCTGGCAAGCCCCGGTCAAGTGAGGACGAGAGTTGGCTGTCATGCATTGTTACACGGGACATTTCAAGCTCCAGATTAACATACTACGGTTTGACGACTGATACAACTAGGTTTTGAAAAAACGTACACAATAAACAATATATGTAGTACACACGTAAAAACGCAAAAGTTGTAACAAACCTGCAGCAGACTTGTAGCAATGCTGTCCAATAACTTGTCAACAAGATGTGTTCGCACTGCTTGTTCCCAGCTTGTTGACAAGTTGTCAACGGCTTGTTGACAACTTGCTACAAAGTTGCTGAGTTCAACAGACTTGTTGTTACAAGTTGTTGCAACAACTTGTTATCGTCCTGCAATTCAACAATTTGTCAACAAGTTGCGAGTGACAACCTTGTAGCAACTTGATGAAGTAACAGCATTATTACAACTTGCTGACAAGCTTGCTACCAGTCTGTTGCGAACACATCTTGTTGGCAAGTTGTGAGATTTTTACGTGTGTATTGGGGAAACATTAAAAACAGTTATAAACCAAGGCCACGTGACTGTCATACACTCCCATCCTCGTTTGATCCGGGCTTTAGTCTTCATGAAAGTGTTTTAGAATACAGCCAGTCCAACTTCTCATTTAATTTGATATATTTCATGTCATTGGAAAGATTACAGGAATATTTATAACAGACGTATAAATCATTGATAAAAGTCATATGTCATTTTAAAATAACGTTAACTTATATACACAATCTAATTGCAATTCATTAAAAAAACAAAAACCGAATTAGAGCGATAAACTAAATTTATGTTCATCTTCGGCCGAAACAAATGCAGTGAAGCACAAGGTGAGAAATTCCTGCATGCAGTGAATTTACTCCTACCAAAAGTTTCTCACGTGTGAGGAAATTGTTTCGCTCTCCTGATTGACTGATATGCATTGCGAAGCGATTTTTCGCATTTAAAATAAATCCATTCATAAAACTGAGTGTATACTGTATACCGATTTTATTGGATTATGGTCACATAAATTCGACTACCAATGCACTATAGCGCAAGAAAATAATATAAGAGCGCAATTTGTCCCAATGGGGCGAGATATCAGAGAAAAATGTTGCTACATGCATATTTGAGTTAATAAAGATCCGTTTTCTTTCATGATTATATTTTGTAAATATTCTAATATGACAAAAAGATAAGATTAAAGATGCTGTAAAGTCCGTTCTGCGCATATATTCTGCGCATCAACACATTCCATCAGTGGGGGAGCAACCTTTGGCATGTTGTTAATATTTCGCACCTTCCGAACTTTGTTGAATTGAATCTCTAGTCTGCATTCATTTACAAGCATAGCGAACCGGAAGAGTGTTAAAAATTCAGTATAATATATATGTAATGATATTTTACAACTGTAGCACTGAGTTCAAAATGTAAACACAGCGTTTGTTCACATTACGGACTTTACATCACCTTTAAAGAAACAGAGCGGAGCGGAATAATTATGAGAACGTAATTAATAGACGAACAGGATAGTCCTAGGTTTATCATTTACTGCCCACGGTTGAAGATATGCTAACTGCTGTGAGAGCGTTGATATACGCGATGGACATTCCTTGGCATAACATGAAGTAAAGGGTGTGTTGATATGCAAGACAAATCCACAAAAGACTTAATTTACGTTTACAATCGTGCAGTGATAATCACATGATTCTTATTTCCAACTTGTGGTCAAAGTATACAACGGTATATGTTACATCAGTGCTTCAATATATAGGCTACGCAGTCTTACAAACTACAACTGGTGATTAAGTGAGACTATATACCAGCTATTATATACATTTAGTTTGGTGGGTTTTGAAACCATATTTGGTACAGTCGTGGTAATGTCAAATCAGCATAATTACTGAGGAAAAATAGAGTGCTCTTTGTAAAGACATTTTGGTAATGTCGCGTATTGTTCAATATGTATATTACAGCAGTACGTTATGTATGTCTGGATTTTATATTTGTAGCATGGATCCAATAGTTGGAAATGATGTGCAGCAATAGCAACAAATTGTCGAACTAGCCAACCACACGTTTCATCACACCATGACAAACATGGAAACGTTCAGTCAGATTTCCAAGAAATTCAGATTCAATCATATCTAGTGACATCACTCCAGTATTGGTCTAGAAAATCTCCGAGATGTTCACATGCTTCCTCAAGACGAGGCTCGTCAAGTATCACATCCATCATGTCCTATATATAACGTAAAATAGGCAATCTTATATCTATCACGATTGACGAGCGAAATAGAATGCCTCAAAGCCCTAGCCTTTCAGACGCTTGCTTTAAAATCGTGTCATGCATTCAGAACACTTTCAGAGGTCATCCTGTCCCATAAATATCTGAAAAACTTGATATCTTCGTGTTTTCCTGTTTTCCCACCCACGAGACATTGTATCACAAATCAAATGTCTTCCCAATGAAGCAAAATTTGTTTCCGTGCAAACTTAGTAATATTTTGCTTCGCAATGCACCCTTTCAATAATTACGCCATTTGGTGTGGGAGCCTCGCTGTCATGAATCGTGAGCCAATCACCTTGGGTAATTTACTAATGAGAGCGAGGCTCCAAGACCAAAACGTATGTGTGACGTAATTATCAAAAGAGTGCATGTATTGCGAGTATATGGGAATTACAAAAACTTTCTGAGGCATAAATTTTATGACTACTCTGGTTGAGATTAAGTTTCAGAAGAAATACCATTGGATACTATATACTTGAGCATTTTGAGACTATACTTCAACATAGTGTCTTCGTTATATGTAATGATATATATACACTATGAAATTAGTCTTACAATTGAGACATACATGTAGCTCGGGTCTCTTTAACGTGATGGTTTCTATGGAGCCCACATGTTTTATTCTGCCCTCATATGATTAAAGTAATGAGAATATTTACCGCATCAGCTTGCACCAGCTTATTCGCTGCGAATATCTGAGTACTCGAATTCTTTGATGCCTTCTGTCCTCTGAGTTTCATAAGTTTTTCCACCACCTAGAAAAGACCCAATTCCATTCTCATCAAAGAAATGTTCAAGTTCACTGAAGTGGAGTTAAGACATTTAGCCGCCATACATCATGCATACCCCGCAAATAGCTGGAGTTAAAAAAATTTAATGCAGACATGAAATGCGCACACAAGAGCAAGAATGTTGAATGGAATTTGTTAGGTTATCATATTGTCAACAACATCAAAAGTGTGGTAAAATACTTTTCGAGACTAATTTTGTTAACTTGATTGAATAAAATGAAATTCCTGCCAGTTAGTACTCTATTGTAAGAAAAGGTAATTTTTTTATTGTCGTGACATTAATTTACAAATTTAAATTTAATTAACAATACATTTTCTAAAATACGGCAGTTGAAGGGAAAAGGCGATAAAAAAATCGTTTCCGGCCTTATTTGGAAGAACTGATGTGTAACGGATTTTTACAGCATTTTCAAATCTTGCATGTTTAGAAATATTGTGACCAAAATCATAATAAAACGGAGAGTTGTCCGCCATCTAGCCTGGACTGTTGTGAATAGGCAAGGGCAATGGTCATTACGAGCCCGAAATTATAATTTGTGTACAATTCCCTAAAAAGAAATTGACTGGAAAATTTTTAACACCTACTAATTGTTATTTGGATGCTCTTGGTGCTTTGGCCAGAGCCCCTCGTCGCACCGCGCGTAAGAATGGCTCTGGGTACGAGAATGCCTTCGTTCTACTTATTAAACAATCGAGCCAGGGATTGGAGGCGAGGTTTACCATTTTAAATGCGCCAAATAATTTCGCGACTACTTAGACAGTATCCATGGGAGGATGTGCAGTTTTCGGTTCTAATACAGTACCCTCGTCAGAGAAACTGAAATTAATATCGAGAAAAATTTCCATCATGATTTTCCGACGCTGGAAAAGTTGATTCGATTCCACGCGCATCTTCGTGACTCCTACATCGATTTTGATCGATATCATGAGACTGCTCGCAGGCTACGTGACTCCGGTTCGTTGGAAATTTTGCTTCATGTTCCTCTGAGGATTGTACTGTAATTGTGGAACCTACCTTTGGTATAATTTTAATATAAACCACGATCGGGGTGAGTGCACTCTCGCTTATTTGTGAAGGATAGTTAATTGACTTGCAGTCCAATACCACCAAATGTTTCTTTTCATTCAGCAAACTGAATATAACATCTAACTCTTCTTTCACCTCGTCTGCAACATAATTTTAAAATTCTGCTAAATGGATTGTACTATTGTTTAGCTCGTGGAAAAGCTAACCACACCGGTACTGTATAAACTAATCAAAACAAATCAAAACTAGGTCTATTCAACACCGCGGAAAAACGTCTGCGCATGCACCAAATTATGAAAATATGGAGGGGAATTTGAATATCAATTTCTAAAACAAAAACATGCTTATTAATTGGTCAAAAATTAGTAAAACAAACGAGAAAATATAGCAAATAGGTAGATTAGTCATTAATTGAAAGCGTCCTGGCATTTAAAGTATGGAATAAAATATAATTCATGTAAAAATAGTTGATTTTAACGAACACGACTTCGAAAATATTTGCAAAATTATTCAAAACAAAAATTCAATCTCAAAAGTTAAGAAAACTCTCGAAAAGTTAAGCTTCTTAACCCACTCAAATTGTAGAATAAATCCTAAAGTTTAATTATTGTGAACACGAAAATTTTCTATATTTGGCGACACAGTTTTTTTTAAAGAAATGTATCACAAACGAAAATTCGGAAATTGTCGTTGCTTAGTTGATAAACAAAATGTTTCAGACGATAAATTTGTCAACAATCACCTTTAGTTCATGTTCTTGTATAATACAATTTCTTGAACCTTCTGGCTGTATTTATTCCTAGTTTTTAGAATGACATGTTTATTTTTGCGCTCGAAATCTAGCTGTAAAGACACACAATGAAGTCACTCCTTTTTACCGCCATTTTGAGCCTTCGGAAACTTTCGGAACAGCTTCTCGTCAAGTTCGCAATACTATTACAGGTAAGGTTGACGCATGCGCAGACGTTTTTCCGCGGTGTTGGTCTATTCATACTGTATAATGTTTAGGTCTGCGCGGAGTTCCATGCAGTAAGAGTCGTCATTTAAGGAGGCTCCCTACAGTTTCCAATATATGTTAGTGTTTTAAACTGAAAGCTATTTGAATCTAAAAAAACTAATTTTTTCACAAGCCTTTGTTTCCTCTTATATAACAGAGCAATTTTAACCCACAATCGCTACTCTTTACGTTACCATGACAACATGACGTCACCATATATTTGGCCTATATCAACCAAAAAAACCGTCTTAGCGGACAAATAACCGCAGTGACCTACCTTTTTTATTGCAGAAAATACATTGTTATGAAGTTTTGAATCTTTTTTGAAAGTTATTTGAATATCGACAGCGTAGTTTTCGAGAAACTCAATTTCAGCCTTTAAGATTGCATTTTAGCTTTTGGAAAGGCTGCGAGAAAATGCCCCGAGAATTGCTCAAGATACAAAAAATGTTACCCTGGTTGTGACGTCACGCACATCCAACGAAGGATATGCATATTCATGATAGCAAAATGCATAATGATTCTGTTAGAAATGAATTGTTTATCTTCTTTTCAAGGAACAACAAGGAAAATCTGTAATAAGGTTTTGAAACTATACGCTGAATCTACCTTCCAAATGGGGGAAACTTTATTTTTATTGCTATTTCCCTTCAAATGTGTCAAATGACAGATCAGTAAGGAAGCATGATATACCGTATTCACTCGATTGAGCGCCGTCCCCGAATGAGTGTCGCATTTGAGATCATTTTTTTTAAGAGCGCCACCCCCGAATGAGCGCCGCACTAAACAGTGTAAAAACTTTCCACCGTCAAAATGGGGACATTTAGTGACAAAAACCTTTTAAAACTTGTTTATTTTATTGTTAAAAGTTCTTTTTATAATTCACAAATAAAAGATTTTTTAAAGAGCGCCGCCCCCGATTGAGCGCCGCCCCCGAATGTGCGCCGCATCTGAAGCTCTGAAAATTTAAAGAGCGCCGCGGCCCTCAAATGAGTAAATACAGTATTGATTTCTTAACATTCTCCTTGTATTGTCCAGGTTTCTGAAATCCAGCTTTTTTCCAGGTCTGCTTATCGTATGGTTTAATACCACAGTGGAACCCTGTTAATAGAACCAATTTATAAAGAAATGTATTTCTTGGTATCGATGTGGCGTTTTGCCAGGGCAGTTTACATAATTTTGTACTTTTTGCTGCTCTGTCTAGTGCATGTTTCTTCTTCTGATGCATGTGAACGAGTATACGAGTCATGAATAAATGAGTGTATGCAGTGAACTGTAATAACACTGGAACGCTAACTGCAGGTAAACATGCCCATACTTGCCCGAAGCCAAGATGGCGCTTCTCGCAAGCTCAGCGAGCAATAAATTAACTTTCAAAAGGACTGGGGAGAGTTTCGAGGAGCGGGAAATTCAGTCAAAAGGTTGTTTTTGAGCGAAAATCAGCAAGAAAAAGCACTTTTTTATCGAAAGTCTTCAACTTTAAAGATTCAAACCTGGTTTCCTGGATAGTTCTAAGTATTTTACATCCACTAACAGCAAAAACTTCCTGGGTAACAGCTTGATATTCAAAATATTACACAAGTTTGAACGTGCCGAAAAAAACTTCGCACTTTGACTCCTGAAAAAAGAACTTTATAACTGCTCTACGTTCTGGAAACATGTTTTGTATTAAATTTCAGGTATTGTTGAAAGTTTTTAGCTTTTTTCCTTGTTGAAATACAGCTATTTAGTGGTCGAAAACAGACGTCTTTTAGGCGGCGTATTTTCCACTCCATACCTACATGGCGGCCATCATGAGTGGCTTCAAAGATGGCGGCCAAGTTATCGTTCCAGTTCTCTTAGAGTTCACTGAGTGTATGTACCCCATTGAACTATAAATAAACTGGAAGGCTAACTGCTATGATGAAGGCCTATGATTTGATGAAGCCAAAATAGTTTTTCTGAGTTATGAGCAGAAATACTTGACCCCAAACGTCGGGCTATATATCAAATTGAAGCTATTGAAAATTGCTATTCGGTGTGGAAATTTCAAGACTTCAGCCAAAAGAAAAATATTTTAAAAATACAAAAACAACTGCAAAACGGGAAATTATCGGTAATTATGTTTGTAGTTTTTTAATATTTCCCTTTTAGCTAAAGTCTTGAAATTTCTACACCAAATCGCGTTTTTCAATAGCTTCAATTTGATATATAGCCCAACGTTCAGTGTTGAGTATTTCTGCTCATAACTCAGAAAAACTAAAATACACTGGCTTCAATTTCCCCCCCTGAGTTAGCCTTCCAGTTTATTTATAGTTCAATGATGGACCCTCATGAGACCATTCAGTAACTTGTTGATACGTGCACATCCGCCAGAAGAAGAAAATCCCAGCAAAAATTGCGGACCATAATAAAGAGGGGACCGTGTTAATAAGGTGGCAGTAACGAAGAATTCCACTGCAGTACCCCACATTTGAGATATCATCGTGAGACTTACCGTTCTTAAGACTACTTTGCGTCTTTGGAGGACTCGGCGTTCTAAAAGACGTCACAGATAACGAATTCCCAAATCTTTCTGGTGCAATGGATCCAAGGCCAATCAGCGGTTTTCGTTTTGCCAAACTGATGTCTGATTCACAACGATGAATGATTAGTCTGTAGATGTATGTTGAATGGGCATGTGAGTTGCATGCATATAATGGAACGTATATTATTAATTTGTACACACTGATATGAAGCGGTTCTATATCTCTATAATTATATTGGCCTATACTAGAATATGGGACACGAGTGTGGCAAAGTGAGCTTACCAAAGAGCATTGTAATAACATTGAGAAGGTACAGAAAAGGGCAGTCTGTTCTGAAAAGGAATATGAAGAAGCATTGCGTGCGGCGGTTTGCCAATCGCTAAAAGCAAATACATTCTTGCAAAAATTTCAAGCTCGTTGGAATAGACAATACTTTAGCTACGACTGTCCATCTTCAGTTGTGAACGGCAATCAACATGCCTTTTTTTGTTTTGGTGTTACGATGCATGCATCTATGGAGTGGAACGGTGAAACTCGCACATGAATCTAAGACAGCATGCAGCATTACAAAGACGCACATTCGTAGAGAACCCATTTCAATGTCTATAACATCTAGATATTTTATTACCTTCCTTCAAAACGTGTTTTGAGGTAATGGTACAGAGCTTTGTGCATCATATCTGTCACCTTTATAAGAGTAATGAATTCTGGGAATTAATATTTAATTAGCGTATTCAGTAAATGATTACAACAACAAACGACAACAATTTTATTCAGTACCCTTCATAATTGCAATAATTATACATTATATATATGTATAATAAAATTAAGTTTGAAAAGCGCTGGCTTCCCGAAATAACTGAAAAGCTAAACGAGTCACAACGAGCCATTGCAATAACAAATATTTTAATATTTAAAAATATTGCTGATATTTTTGGCCAGCATGACAGATTAGTATAACAATCATAAATCATATAGATAATTTCTACCATAATAATGATGATAGATATACAAACATAGACATAACAAATAAAAATATAAAGACTCTAATATGCAAGCAGAAATATAAAGTACAAAAACTAATATTCCCCAATCAATTTTGCTTTAAGTTTCTTTTTAAAGTGATTTATGCTGAACGATGATCATAGCCGGCAAGTCCGGTGTACAAGCTCAGTTCTTGGCGTACATATGGAGTATAGTTGTTTACAAAAACAAAGTCTAAAATATGAACACAACTGGTTATTCAACTGGCCAAGTAAGACGAAGTTAAACACATTAAAGAAAACGCTTTATTACGGGGAGTCGGGACCAGTATAAACAGATTGTCAATTTAATTGTCAATTATATAATAAATTGTCAATTTCCGTCCGAAGTTTGTTGTATTTGATATATTTGTCAGCATTGTACTTCGCTGAGTGTCCAAATACTAGAATTTTATCTTGATTTTCTTAACTTCGATGCAGCACAAAATTAAACGCAATAGATTATATATTAAGTCTTTTAAACCTTCTGGAGGAAATCTCTGAATTTAAAATTATTGTGTTGTTATTTTAAACGCATGCATGCTAATTATCAATTAAGGTGGCTCAATACACTTTTTAGCCAAAGGAGCAAAAGTTGAATATTTTCTGTTTAAATGCTTTTACAGGGTTAAGTTTTACTTATAATTGTAACACATAGTAAGACGTGTCACAGACAAGAAGAATTCTGATAAAAGTCGCGTTTCCATGACAACTATAACGAATACTGGCAACACTAAATAGCCGAAAATATCGCAGTTTTTCGAGTTTTTTTAAAAAATGAGTTCGGTGACCCCAACCTTTTTTTTAATAAATCAGTTACGTTAGTGTCGAGAAACATTTCTGGGAAGTTTAAAAAAAATCTGTCGACTCAATTCTTTAGAATTAAATTTCGACTTTTTTGACAGTTTCTGTCGACAATTTTTTTTTATTTTTCCATCATGAAATCTTGAAGCATGTATCTACTCATGTACAAATTTTCAGGGTACCTTACCGAACTCGTTTTTGAAATAATCACGGTTTTATTCCGCGCGGCCAAAGTTTTTCACACTCTGCAAGATCAATGAATTGACATGCGCGTACATGTTTTCGCAGGCGCATCTCCAGAAAAACACGCACAAAAAAGTTTTTAGTCTCGTCGAAATATCAAATATATATTGTGTTTTCTTGCTTAGAAATGCAAATATATTTGGTTTTTCATGCTAACTCGGGATAACGCCAAGAGAACAGGTGATTGTCGGTCGTTTGGTATAAGATATGTGTGACATGTATGAACTTTTTGGCTTTTCTACATAGTTTTATATTCGTTTTCAGTCGTAACTTGTGTGTTTTCATGTTGTTGTTGACAAGTTAAGACAGTTTGAGCCGGCGCATGATGCTGTTTCACTGAATTCCTTTGCTGTTAGTAACACTTTGAATACATTTACCAGTTGTAACTACAAAAAAACTCTGGATATGAACTTATAAATCGCCAAATATTGGAGTAAAAAACTTTTCGCCGGTCCGGGGCCGATCGCCAGTTTTCACAAGAGTTTGAAAGTTGAACATTGCATTTTTTTACCTTAAAATGTCTTCTAAAAAGACTAGTTATTCAATGTTCAGAGCTAAATCAGGACGAAGTTTGTTCTTTGAGAACAAATGAGAACAAGGAAGACTCAAAACATCAAAATAAACATGACTTGTGGTTCGGATTTTATACTGAAAAAGTTGTATTTATTTTTGCATATATTTTTAACATTTTCGCGCGAGAACTGAAGATTAGGTACCAGTCCCCCAATGATGAAAAGTGTATGGAGCCACCTTAACCAATGAAATATCTTCGTTTGTCATCCCCGAGCCGGCGGCGCGAAGCGCCGTGCGAGGGTACTAATTCCCCCCGGCTATTTACACCCGGAGAAACGAAAGCATTAGGGAAGTCTGAAGTTCATCAATGAGCGCGGGCGTCGGTCACCAACGATGGGTGGTCATCGTCACTGATCTCAAAAATATGGCGGACTGTCATTAAAAGCGGACACTGATTGGTCCAATTTAAAGTTTGCATTATAACGGCTGCATGACGACAGCGAAATAGCAAACATTTGACATTTCTTGATTTGATGAGTTGATGATTGACAAATTTCTTGCAAATATTCTTCATTTTTGCTCGTATTTCTGCAAGATTTTGTAAATTTCAAGAAAGAAAGAGCGAAAGAATCAGCTAAAAGAAGGGAGCCGACGTTAACAAAGGTAAGTTTGTTTTAAATATTGATTTTATAATGGCTTTAAAACCCGACGGCCTTTGTGAATATGAAACAACTAAACAAGACAGCATATAATTTCAGTGTATCTTTAATATTGATTCCCTTTTTTATTATATTGAATTTTTTAAATAAAAATAAAGCAAAGTTATTTGCAAGCGAGAATTTGAAATCATTTTATTGCAAAACTCAAAGTTTATCGATAAAGCCATTTAATAGTTAAAGGCAGTTTTATAGTTTTATAAAGAACACTTTAAAACGTTTTGTGAATTGTTTGTGGTTGAATTTTACCTTAAATTGAAGCTTGTATTACGTATAATTACATACCTAACATAAATATGTTGGGAAATTGATAATTTTGTAATTAAAAGTGATATTTTTAGGCGATTTTTCATTTGTATTAAGAATATTCTCAAAAAATTATCGTGTTACCATGACAACTACTTTAGATACTTCATGTTCGTAAAATACAACGGTTTTGTCAGCAATGCGAGGGTTTCTGCATGCATGTATTTTCTAGTATATTGCTATATGATATATTGCGTTAGTTCTTAAGAACGAAGCAACAACATTATATATTATATTTATTTATTCATATAAGGATCTTCCCGTTCCCGTGTTATGTACGCATGCATGGTCCCATGAGAACGAAGCAAAATTATGTTGATATATAGTGCGTGAGTTAATTCTTGACTTAAGAACGAAGCAACAATATATTATATTATTGATATAAGGATCTTCCCGTTCCCGTGCCATGTATGTGGTCTCTTGAGAACAAAGGAAAATTATCCCCGAGCCGACGGCGCGAAGCGCCGTGCGAGGGTACTAATTCCCCCCGGCTATTTACACCCGGAGAAACGAAAGCATTAGCGGAGTCTAAAGTTCATCAAGTATCGCGGGCGTGGGTGACCAACGGTGTTGAGTGGGTGGTCATCCTCACTGATCTCAAAAATATGGCGGACTGTCATGAATAGCGGACACTGATTGGTCCAATTTAAAGTTTGCATCATAACGACTGTATGACGACAGCGAAATAGCAAACATTTCTTGATTTGATCACAGATTTGATGATTGATAAATTTCTTGCAAATATACTTCAATTTTACTCGCATTTTTGCAAGGTTTTTGTAAATTTCAAGATAGAAACGGCGAAAGAATCGGCTAAAAGAAAGGAGCCGACGTTAACGAAGGTAAGTTTGTGTTAAATATTGATTTTATAATTGCTTTAAAACCCGACGGCCTTTGGCCCTTTGCGTATATGAAATAACTAAACAAGACAGCATATAATTTCAGTCAATTCAGTGTATTATTAATATTGATTCCTTTTTTATTATATTGAATTTTTTTACTAAAAGGAAAGCAAAGTTATTTGCATGCGAGAATTGAAATCATTTCGTTGCAAACTCAAAGTTTATCGATAAAGCCATTTAATTAAAGCCAGGCAATTTAGTTTTATAAAGAACGTTTTAAAACGTTTTGCGAAGCTTTTGTGGTTGAATTTTACCTTAAATTGAAGCTTATATTACGTATAATAACATACCTAGCAAATATATGTTGGGAAATTGATAATTTTGTAATTAAAATTGATATTTTTAGGCAATTTTTCATTTGTAAGAATATTCTTAAAAAATTATCGTGTTATTACCATGACAACAACTTTGGATACTTCATGTTTGGAAAATACAATGGTTTTGTCAGCAAGGCGAGGGTTTCTGCATGCATGTATTTTCTAGTATATTATTCAAATAAAGCACTGTCCAACCAGAGGCATTTCCACAAATCTGTGGAAAATCCACGTGACCAGAACAAGGAATCTTCATCCATCTCACAGACGTTCTCTCGCGCGCTTCGTCGAGAGTAACGTCTGTACACATGCAGACTAATTTAGAGTTGCAGATTTTATAGATTCATCAATTCCATATACCTGCTCCTTGAAATCTAATATAATTAAATTACAAACTATATTCTGGTGAAAGCGTCGCTCATCCAGGAACTATGCCATTACAAGGCATCCAGGCCTGTCCCTAACTATGACCCCAAATTGTACTGAGTACATGGATCGGCTATCACTTATACGTATATAAGACCGGATTTTATTGTGCCATCAATTTATTTATTAATTGACAAGCACATATATATTGTATACTTTATAGTAGAAACTAAAACCAACGTGCAACCCATATTTCACCTCATCCTAAAGACTTAAATTAGTTGGCTCGTGTTCATATATTTAACATAACACCACTGATCAAAGATACGATAGTCTGGAAGCGCGGCAAACATCAAAGCAACATACCCTGTACAAATTCTTGGTACACGCTTATCCCTATTTCACGAATACTCAATTATACGAAAACACAATGAGCTCAATCACCGTGACCGTGCATGAATTAACATAAAATCAGAAGAAAAAAAACACAAAAAATTCTGTTTAGTTTCCAAGCCATCCTATCTTGATATACGTAGAATGTGGTTCAGTTCAGGCTTCAAATATACGGATTTTATTTTCTCGTCTTTCTATGAATAATAACCACCAAGCAACCACACCCTCGATATATCCATCGTTATTTTAGTTGCTCATTCTATAAACTGGATGGGATGCCCCTATATGTTTATCGACGCATGCGCCAACAAACGGCGATTTTGACTCGGATGTCGCGAAAACAGCTATTGTTCCTGATATTTACACAGCTAATTTTGAGTGGGCAATTTTATAATCCAAGAGATGAATTTTGACACTAATTATGATTAAAAGGAGAATCTTTTGTATGTTACGTGTCAAAATGAATGAATATAGTTTATAACTTGGTCATGATTCAACCGTTCCGCACGTTGTAACCAATAATCTATTGGCGTTGTAATGATGCCATTATTCGCAATAAAGTATTGGGTTGTAATTGGGTCTACAATTAATCCAAACGTTAATCCAAACCTTAACCCTAACCTCCACGCCCCACCCCCTAACCTCTAATCCCCACCTTTGTAGTATTTACCATTTTTTTAGTATTTACCCCTTTTTTAGTATTTACCCAACCCGCACCTCGCCAACCTCCAACTTACGCCAATTACATTTATAACTAGAACTTTTGTCCACTACTTTATTGCATACAATGGCATTACAACGCCAATAGATTATTGGTTACAACGCGTGCGGAACGGGTGCATGATTACATTCAATATGTTTAATTTTTGATACGTTTCTTAACGGCAAACAAACTAAAAATAGTGTTTAGCGCTTTATCTGTAAAATAATGCTAAAATGAAGAGATTCTAGATATGGCACACCAAATTAAGAGAAAATTATGTCTGAATTTCAGTAGGTTTTGAAGGAAAACCAAAAGGATTTTAGGTTTTCAACACTTTCCATCGGAAATACGCGTCATTGAAAAAAAGCCTCTTGTTATTGAAATCAATGTTATTGCTGTTTTAAAATAAAGTGTGGTTCCCGCAATGGATCATTGAAATCATGCATTAATTGTTATTATTATCTTTCTAATTAATCAGGGTAACCACATCACCGTCGGTATAGTGTTTTTGAGTGGGGTCCATGCATGCATCATGCTGTCGTGATGAGTATTAATAAGTATGATGATCCTTTAGTGGACTTTAAACTCCATTCGAACAGCTGCCTTAACAATGGTTCTACTAGACCAATTTTAAAAATCTTATATTGTGAAAGTTCATCGCTGTCCTGAACAAGCAATAGGTGTGTAGAAATGTGGAACATAGCAACCGCAACCAAATTCTGCCCGCCAATTTAAAGTCGATGCCTGCAGAGGAACTTATGGTGCGAGTTGTATTTTGGGAAATCTCACTATTGATTTTTTTCTGATGATCAACTACTATATGTAAGTCGGAAAATGAGAAAATTATTTTTACTAAAAAGACCATGAATGATACCTGAACAGTACAACAAACCTCATATCCTTTAAGAGATGGACCAAGGAAGATGACAGGTCGTGTCTTGGGTGTGTCGTAGGTTGAAACAAAACCTAAATCAGCCTAAAATTTTCGGAGAATGAATTGTGAAGATATTGTGAACACGTCATTTATTATAGCCATATAAACACAGGCATGGTCATATCCAATCATCACAACACGACTGGAATGAAGCAGTAATTCCTCTGTTGAATTAATGAGATGAGATGAGCTAGTCCAGTCATGTATAGTTCTGCAAACACAGGAGGCTTTCAATGGCGGTGTGGGTGTTGGTGGGGGTGGGGAGGGTGACAAGGCTTAGAGGCAAACAGGCGTGGTGGATGTAATATGACAAACATGGAAAGTTTCAGAAATAATTTTTTTGGATATAGCAATTCTTCAGTTGGTGTTGCTGAGGAAAGAATGTTATTTTGAAATGAAAGATTCCTAATTCGCAAAGCTATTTCATGCTTGAGCCACATGGGGCTTCAGTCGGGGAGATAAGACATTAGGTAATGAAGATTACATAACGGTTTCATAAAATCCCGGCGACTGATCTGGAATAAGGACTTCGCTGGCCTATAGTCGGCGTCAGAGCAAGCGCCTTTCATCTCTGGGTTCGATTCTCACTAGAGACTCAAGTGAAAAGAGCCAGTCAACGCTCTGCCGAAAGGCGTGGGTTTTCTCTATAGCTACTCCAGTTTCCTCCCACATGGAAAGTTGACAGGATGGGTTAGGATAAACACAGCTAAGAAAATAATATCACATTTGTTGTAAAGATAAAAATAGTCTAAGTATGTTATTAGGTGTATAATACTTGATGTAAAGCGCATTTGATTATATTCACACAGAGTAAATGTGCGCTAAAAATACTAATCGTAATGTAAAATAACTGGATTGAAGAGTAAAACCGGCTATATATAGTCAAATATTTTTAGTAATGGCTAAAATGTTTCTAACATATGTTATTTAGGAAATTTATTTTTCGAACCCATCACATGTCGAAATAAGATATGATAAACAATACCGGACAAGGCTAATAAGATTGATTGTGGATTGCAGTATTTTTGAAATATGAAATAGAACCTAAAAACATGGTTATACACCAACCATTGTTCAATGGACCCGCTGGACAACTTTGATGTTCGTCGTAAAGTTTTTACTCCGTCCAGATCTCCTATAAATGCGGCTATTACATCTCTGTAGTACTTTAATATTAATTCATCGAAGTGATATTATTACATATTAATGAAATACTGTATACATGTTCACCGGCAATTTTGGCTGTGCATGGTTATTCATTTTCTGTTAGAAACGGGTTGGTTTTTTTGTGTATTAGTGATGCCGAAATTAAAAACTCTTTGCATTATTTAGAGAAAACAGACGTAGCTAATTTTCTTGTGGCATATAACTCATTCGGTCAGGCAAATGACTCGGCCAAACTGACAAATTTTCTATGACCAATTCATTCTCCCACAAATTGAAAATTTACACGAGCAATTTCAGAAAAATATATCTAGAAAACTTGCTTAATTGAGAAAGTCGGCATCCGCAGATGTAAAGCTTCTTCAATATTTCCGGTTTGGGAGTCAGGACGATCATTAGATACGTTTAGCTGCCTAGAACCGGTTATTTCAAATCGGAAAATTATATATACGATTTTCTCCTAAAACATGTATACGTACATTACGACTCAAACTCTTATACAATTATAGCCAATTTAGAGTGCTCAAATAATCGTATAACCAAATCGTTATACAAGAGATCAATCATGTCTGTTGAGCTGTCTTGTGATGATGAAATTGTCATCTAAATTTGCCGGTTAAAACAGCTAGTTACTAAATACACTGAGAGTAGTACAGTATACTGTGTCTGCTTAGTCTTAAATTCTAAACGCTTTTCAGTATATATTTCGACTAACACCACTAAGAGCCAATGTATTTTGTTTGCAAATAAAAAAGCGGTTTGTTATTTGACAATAATAACAGACGTATTACCTTCGTAAAAGCCCGAGATGCTCGTCTTTGTATTTCTGTCGCCAACGACATCTTTGAAACTAAGCTTACAAAACAATGTTCCTTGTCCTTTTCAGACCGAAGCCAGATAGAGATATGTTATTCTACCTTCTCCACTATAACTCCTCGAATACTTTGCTTCAATACTCTCGCATTTCATCTGTACTTTTTTTCTCTTAAATATTTTAGCAGTTTGCCGTCTCGCAAATTGTTACTTCCCTCAAATTTGCATAACGTTATTCATTAACTGCCTCAAATAATCACGTCAAATTAACATCTTATCTTCAGAGTTTTGCTATTCTCTCTTAAATCATTTTTATTCCGCATCGATGTTATGAAAAAAATAACGTATTTCTTCAATATATATATAATCCTTTAATGTAAAGACGAAAGAATAATGTTAAGTTTAGTATTAAATTTAGAACAATCGGCCGAGCAGCTGTTCAATCTTGAAGTGGAGGTTTGTTAATATTCATTCGTATGTTTATATGTCTGCTGGAAGAAACCTATCAGCGTTCCAGTAGCCACTGGAAACTCATTAATATTCAAGCTATAGTTTGTCAGCATGTTTGAAATATGCGGGGGGTAAAACAGATATACTACTCATTCGCACGTAGTTTGAAGTGGCTATATTCCTTTCTTATTTTGAACAAGTTTAAAGCACAAAAACGAGGACTCAGTGATTTAAATAAAACTAACAATATCTTCATTTTTAATAAACTTTATTCGAATTTATTTTGATATGTGCTGTTATATTAGTTTTCGATATAAGTTATTTTCGCGCCTACGCCGTCTCGAAAGTGTCCTATACATCATTAATTTGATAAAATCATTGTCTCAAACCAGAATCTTTTCTTTACTTTTAATTGTCACTCTTCACATATTTGTGGTTCGTTTTCAGTTGTGTATTGTACACCAAACTATAAGTACAATGAATCACGTACACTTAAATTAAATATCCTGGTTTATCATCAGTGGCAGCAGAAAAAAGCCGTGCGGATTTTACCGACTTACATTTAGACTTTAGTATAAATGCACGGAAAAAGTATGCTCAAACACGCAGCACAGTTGGAGTATGGTATTATATTTTCAATGCTACTACACTTTTCAAAATGCAATAAAAATATTATAATATTAATATAAAAATATTACAATTGCCAAGGCCTAAGCGCAATATCATACACGTTGTCAATGCGAACTCGTGTTTTCAAAATGGCCGAGCATCGTGAAAATTTCGCGTGGGTTCTTCAAACGGTCCGCCGGAAATAGTGATTTTTACAAAAATAAAGAAATCCATCCGGCACGAAAAATGGATGCGGGCGCTGACGACAAACCGGGATATTTTTTACATGGCCTAAACAGTGGCTCTCGTGAGTTAAAATTGAGGAATCTGCAGATTGATACGGATACAACTGGCTGAAAAATACAAGCAATTCGAGCGAAGGCGAAAATTACATGAGCTTTTATACTCCTGAGTATATAAACGATCACGTGGCAAAAATAATAAACCAATCACATGGATTTAGTCAAAACAAAGTGTAAACAAAAAAATGTAAATCCCATGACAGAATATACTAGAAATACATGCATGCAGTAACCCCTCGCAAATATTTTCCAAACATTAAATTAACATGAAGTATTCAGAAATGGCCGACACTGAACGCAGGCTCGAGCTCAATTGTTGCCATTACAACACGATATCTTTTCATATTTTTGTACAAAACTGCAAAATAGTTGAAAGATTCGTACTTTTAACTATACAACAATAAATTTTCGAAATATACACTGTAGGTATATTATTTTGCATTTTGTGAGCTTTGATTTAATGTAAAATTTAACTTGAAACGCTTCGTGAAATTTTTGAAATGTTCATTCAACTAAAACTACATTTAAATTCTTTGTATGTTTGCATGGCGAAAAATTTTGTGGAAACACCACGTTTGCTACATTTCCCGTAAACTACATTTGGCGATAAACTGTTACACACAAAACAAATTGTTAGGTAATTTTAGTTCAGTCTTCAAATCAATTTGTTCAAATTAAACGGTAATGTATGAAACTTAGAGCTTCGTTGAAAAGGAAAACAGTTCATGTTTTTATGCAAAAAGTTAGAGCAACAAAATTCAAAGCAAACTTGCCGTATATTTCACGATTTCCCATAGTAAATCAATTCTTCTCATTTCTTCAAACAAAATTGCTTCAAGCTTGTTGTATATGAAACGATTTTCCAAATATGTCTTTTAATATTGAAATCTTGCTTATCCCACTCCCACAAGCAATCAGCCACATTTTTGAGATCAGTGAGGATGACCACCCACTCAAGTTCGTTCGTCACGCCCGCGATATTTGATGAACTTTAGACTTCGCTAATGCTTTCGTTTCCCCGGGTGTAAATAGCCGGGGGGAATTAGTACCCTCGCACGGCGCTACGCGCCGTCGGCTCGGGGATTAAAACAATTTATACAGAAAACCAACCTCGCAAGCCGCCAGGCTCTCTACTTCCGCTACACGCTTGCGTGTTTGGGAAGGAAGCGGAGAGCCTGGCTTGCAAGTTTGACAGAAAACAACAATTATTCAACAAATACAAATAATTTCAGAAAACAGTTCGTCTGTGATCAAAGACAAAGTTCCTTTGTTAAATTTCATCTGATGATGAATCTTTTCGACGTGCAGTGTAGTTATATCAAGAAGCCCTAAGAAAGAGCAACTGTAACAACATAAATTGAAATACCAACTCAACAACCTCCGACATCAATACCACCAACTCAAGGTGCATGACGGAAACGAGAAAAAGTGTAAAGGTCCATATACACCGGAAGCGATTCGAAAACGCGACGCGATTTTTTAGTTTTTGAAAGTTAATAAAACAGCCTATGAGAGCAAATTTGAAAAGATATGTAGAACAAATAACTCAAAATGTTATAGCGCTTCTAAATATTTGGAAAATTTAAATTAAACTAGGATGAAAGTTATCGGTCAGTGAAAATCGAAAAATTGCGTCGCGTTGTCGAATGGCGTCGGGTGTGTCTGGACCTTTAACTGCCGAAAACCAGTCAATATATGCCTTATATCAGTATAAAAATATTTGTCTTGCAGAATCTGTTAAGCCGCGATGAAAACATGTCATAAACACAGCCCACTGACACATAGGTAATTGACTAACAGAAAATAAATAAAAACCCGATAAACCAATCATAAAGCTTCATTTAATAACCTTACAATCTTTTGAATGATGGTTTTTAAGGCGCATTACAACCCTTTTCATTGAAATCAACGGCCGTCGTGGCCGACTGACGGATAAGGGAAGCCTCACATATCGATTTTGTCCATGAGAAACGTCATATGTTCGTTTCTCTAGAGACCCCCCCCCCCACCACCACCACCACCCCCCTTAGAAACGTCACACATAGTTATCGATATTTTGTTCTCATAGTACACATAAGATAATTTTCTACTACTATTTTTTTTTCGGTCGGCTATTGGCGATGCTTCCGCGAGAAATATGTCATCTTCTGCTGACAAACTCTTTCTTTATTATAAATATGAACTTCAAAATTTCCAACGTTTCTCAAAACAACTTTTTTGCATGAAATATTGATCATTTTAGCGCGTTTTTCTTGAAATTTGAGTGTTTGCAATGCAAGGAAGGCGTAATAATATAAATATATGCGTGTAGAACAGGTATGGTATTACGAATGTATAGACTGCTGTTTGTATCAATTTTTTTTTTACATTCTGCAAAGATAAAAACTATCGAATTTTTCCATGATGTTTACAGAGAAACGTCACAGCTGAACGTGTGCTCCAGCCCGATTTCCAGTTCTGAAAGACCCGATTCGCAAGCAAACAGTGCGCGCAAAGCAGGCTGGTCATTCCCATGCATTGTTTAACTGCCCCACACTCAAGTAACCACAAAGACTCACAGACGCATCCCGAGTCAAAACCTACTAGGAAAATCAGTTAAGCATAATTCAAGATCAATGAACTCAATGTTTTTACATTCAAAGTATTACAAAAAGTTTATACAAACATTGAGATCAATGATCTTGTATTATGCTTAATTGATTTTCCCAGTTAGTGTTTAGCACTCTCGTGCTATTTTGACGCTCTTTTGAAGTTCGTTGCGTCGGTTAAGTGTTGCAATGTCCGGTCTAAAAAATAGTAAAATACTTCTCACATTAGTTGCCCGTGCATGTCTTGGATGCATTACTATATAACAGGGTTCGTAGTCTTTCAAAATATTTTTTCTGCTTATTTTCAAAGACTTTTCAAAGACCTTTGAGACCAATCAGGTGTCGAGAAATTGCAAGTGTAAGCACCATTTTTACCCGGTAATTAGTCCCGTCAAATCACATCCTAAAATGCACTTTTTCGTCGATATTAGCGAAAATCTTACTTCAATCAATTTATTTTATTAGCAGGAAATTGTATACTCACTAAAGAATTTAAAGACTTTTAAAAACTTTTTTCGCTTTTTCACACAATTCAAAGACTTTTCAAATAACTTAAAGACCTGAATTCAAATTTAAAGACTTTCAAGGATTTCAAAGACCGCTACGAACCCTGTATAAGATTTAGCTCCTTTTAACTAGTTTAAACCCACTGGTTCCTCTCGGGGATTCGGCGAAATATTACTCGAGTGGTGGGTAATATTTTTCCAAATTCACCTCGTTCCGGGTTATGATACGTATTATTGTGTTATAACCTTTTATCATAATAATCATCATGCAATACCACAACGGGAACTGTTGCAAGTTACGTAAAAAATACACGCATTATTTAAATTAACTCGAATGACGCCAACTGATACATTTGATTTATTAAATATCGATAGTAATACAGCTTATAAAATATTCATTACCATATAGATGTAACAGCAATAGTCTCTTGATATTCTAACTACCACATGTTCTATAACTTTGCTAGTGATTGTTAATACCATGTTGTAGTTAGTTATTTCCTTCTTAAAAATTACACTTGTGGCAACAGGATCAATCTTCATAAATAACGTCTTCCGAGTTCGTTAATACATCAACAGTCAACACTTTGTTGGAATTTTAACCATTCTCCTAAATGTTCAGTAGCTTCATCCCATCGAAGAGGTATCTAGTAAGTTTGTCTTTACTTCATTCTCTATAACGTTTTGCCAATCTGGAAAGAGCATTTTCCTGCAATAAACTATACGAGTGTGCAACTACTGCCTATCCCAGTCCTTAATGTTTCAGATGGTATTATTGTCTTCGCACACGTCCACCACAATTGTCATATTTAATGTGTTGTTCTGGTTTGAAACTTGTTTTGGAACAGATTATCACAACTCAACTGAATAGCACATTATGGCGATGTCATGGAAAGGAAATGAAATTGTGTCCGGGAGAGAACATGTAACACAAAAAACATTTGAAAATGTGTCCAAACATGAAAAGTATTGAATAAGGTTTTTGCCTTTAACTATAGATGTATTCAAAAGATAACATTTGAAAATAAACAATATAAATGTGATGCAGAAATGGTCAGCACATCAAATATCCTATATATGCACAAATAAAATTAATTTTAGCGTATCACTACAAACAACATTTTCCCATATACAAAGTGAATTTAGAAACTACTTTAAACAATGAAATGGGGTAAGGTTGCATTATAATTCATGGTTGGACACTGACGTTAACGAAAACAATGTGCAAGGGAAGAAAACAACATTGAACACACAGAAAGAAAATTTACACTGTACTATATAAATACATGCAACATCAAAAACAAATATACGACATACAAATGCTACACCAAATATTTTCTATCTATAAGACAATCTTTCTTGCTTTATTTTTTTTTACTGTAATTCATAATCGATGCATTCAGCTATAACATTGCTCCTTTCAACACTGTTGTGCACTGAAACCACTAATGATGCATATTTGTTATTACGTTAATATCTCGTAGGCAAGGTGTCCAGTTTTGGCGAAGTAACCGAAGGAGGGTTTTTACTGCATTTTTTCGCTAACAATCGACTTCTATCAAGAAAACACAAATGAAGACAATTGTTTTTTATATGAGCCTACATGCATGTCAGTATCAAAATTAATATTTATAGTCGGATCGTTTGTACGATTTTTATTATTTATCAGTGCGTAGGACCCGCTAAACACTTTAACGTACAAAAAAGAAATAATTTTCTAATTTGTTTATATCTTCAAAATTCATATAAATTAGTGAAATTTGTATTTAGTAAATATTTGATCTATTTACTAAAAAAATTACTTTCGTATAGTTCACTCGGCGCAATCAGAGATACCAGGGACTGTGCAAAGTCACTACTTTCTAGACGCTGCCACAGGTTGAAGACATCTATGGTGAAGTTCGGTTGAAGACGTTTATGGTGAGGTGAAAGTTGAAAAGTTAGACTGTGTAGGACATGTGCAAAAAAAGAATTGGAAAGCATTTGCTTAATCTGAAATCAACAACAAAAGGTAATCTTGCTGATGGTAAAAGCATTGGAGACCGAGGACGACTGGCAGAATAAAAAATCAAGCAGCTTCAGAAGTGCTATGGACATGCAATTCCCAAGAATATAGTAAAAAAGCCCAAACCAAACAAAAAGAGAGATTGAACTGGCAGTTTATGCAATGAAAAAGAACATTATAGCAATCCTGCATCACCGCACCAAATCAACTTTAATAGTATAATTTTATGGCACAAGCTTACAGATTCGCCTTGGACAATATGAACAGGACTTTACAACGACAATGCTGATAGTCAAGGTATGTTGTGCTTACGTTTTGCTGTTGTATAGCTGTTAAAGATCTTCCCCGACAACATCGCTTCTGCACACAAGGGAGTCTTCCTGGTGCAAATGGCAACAGGATGCAGCAACGGGAACTTCGACATACAATGACGAAGACTGTTTGCCTAATTTTTCCTGAAGGTTCTCAATTCTCAACCAGTGTTCACTTCTCTTAGCCAAACAGAGTTGCCTCAAAGTGTGTTCTTCGGACAACTCAAAAGCAAAATGAAAGTTTAACTGAATGCTCTCGTTTGGGATAGGTGTCCAAAGCACAAACAACATGGTTACAAAGCAGTGCGGTGTGTTGTAGGTGCTTCTGTTTCCCACTTCCATATCGGAGCAAAGAGTCAAGTTGGTGTTATGAAATGAATGTCCATTCAGAAAACTGATTTCTAATCACATCAAATATTTCAAGTTTACAATTGACGACAAGAGATAGACATGGGAATTTAAAATCTTGAATGTAAAATTCTATGCATGTTGTAAATCATGGAATAATTATTCGGTGTTTGAAAAGTTGTTTTAAGTATTTTCTCTAATGAGTGTGTAATGGGTCTTAACTATTAAATGTCAAAAAATTTTCAATAACAAAACTGATTTTCAACCCGGTGTCAAATTAGATTTGCATATGAATTTTGTCTTGACTTTGAACTGGCAGTGTTGTTTAACTCTTTTTCGACAGGTCCTATGAAAACTAGGCCGATTCTGGAATACTATTGTGCAGGTTCATATCTTCGGTTCAGTATATGCTATATAGATGAAAATACCACCATTTGATTCAGCGAGAAATTATATCCTAATTCCTAATGATAGTTTTAGTCAAAGACAAATAATATAGCGATTTATGACCTTTGAAGGGTCAAGAGGTATCATGGTTGTTTACCATTTACATGCATGGAAATTCCGGTGATTCCATACGGAAAGTAAATGGAACAAGCATATTTCGACTGCCCAACCGGAACTTTTCCGGAATGAACGGTATGTTTGAAAAGGTTGTCCTCTCTTACCGATTGGAAAGTTTAAAGCGGTAAATGTTGTTCCATTTACATCTTTTTTATTTTTTTCACCAGTTCCAGGCTCTTCTCGATTTAACAATTGAAATTATTAAATGGAAAGCGCATAATCCGAATGGGATTTTCTATCCGAAATTTTGCTTACCATTAGCACAATTTCAAACCGGATGGGTTTTCCGTGTAAATGGTAAACAACCCATATTTCAACAAATTGCATATTTGTTCGAAAAATGTAAACAATGTATCACTAAATCCATACCTTTCGCCCTACACAACTTCGGCCCCTTCGAACATATCCTTTTCGTTGTAGTCTTGTTCGATTCACAATCAAAAACACTATTTACAGTGTTATTTTTTGAAGCTTGTAGCCTCAGTTCTTCGTCTTTTTATTTCGATATTTCAATCTGTTGCGATATTAGTGAAGTCAGCTGGATATTTTTGACCGGAAATGCGATTTAGATTCGCCAAAACATCGCGTGTTTACATCCTAGTGCTCGGGAAACGTCGGAAATCGATTCTAAAGGTCAAATTACACAGCAAAAATTCATTTTCCTAGTGAGAAAATATATCTCATCTTAAGAATTTTTTTCTTAGGCAAAGAAAAATTTTCTGATGCGAAGAAAATTTTTCTCATTTTAGGGGACAAAATCTAGACTAGAATTTAATTTCTTAAAATAAGAAATTATTTTAACCCACAGAATTACTCATTTTGATAAAAGAAATTTTTTTCTTGATGTGAGAAAAACTGTTCTTAATATGAGTAAATAATTTCTTGATACAATAAAAGTGATCTTAACTTCTAAAATTCTTATTATAAGAAAACAAATCTTGAGTACAAAATCTTGAATGTTTCTTAAAATAAGAAAACTTGTTTCATTGAAAGATTCACATCCTTGTTTGAAGAAAATTATTTCTTGACATACCAAAATATTATTGTATTGAACCGAGTACATACACTTAATAAATCTTAATTATAACCACGCATATGCATTCAACACAATTTTATTATTTACAATAAACAACTTTTTATATCCATTTCATTTTTCTTCTTACGTGCTTGTAAGAGAAGTGATACATGTTGCCGGGCAATCGTCGACTCCACAGCGGACGAAGAAGTTTACTTCATATTGCTGCGTACGCTGTGGCATAGACAATCCAAAATCCAAAAGACATTGGATTGTCTCTGGCTTGTCTAATACTGTAGTAATGGTTCATAAGAACCCGAAGAGTGAGTGCTACGAACACAGCACATCTAGGGAACATTTCCAAACAGTATTTGGGGCCACTTGACTCACCATATTAACGTTTATTCAGCACGAGACATGTGCAACAATTTTTAACATTTTAAAACGGCACTGCTTATTGTCACCTGTGTGTGTGTGTGTGTGTTTTTTCTATAGTAAAACAAACTAACCCCCCTTTTTTACCCGCGCTGTATTGATTTTGGAAAAACTGGGGACGAGGCAACTTCGATCCCAGGGTATATGGAAATTAAATTAAGGAAACATTTAAATATTTTTAAAAGCAATCAACGCAAGATTTTTGTAACCAAATTCAAATTAAACAAATATGTTATTAAATTTGAATAAATAAATCATTAAAATTGGCGTCTTTAGCTTATTTAATGAAGAATTAAAATATATCATGACGTCATGTGCGTGACATGTCGCGCGGTCCCCACGAAAGAGCGCGTAAAGGTTTCTGGGATTAAGATGCGCGTCCTTTCGAAATCTGCTTCCAAGTGAAACGGCTGTGTGTTCACTTGCTCGCTGAATTTTATTAAATTTTTCCATTTGAAAGTTTAATATGGATCTACAAACTTCATCGTTACTTAAACAAATTGCTAGTGTGGACAAAGAATGCGAACAGATACTGGAAGGTAATGTTTTTGTTGAATATTTATAGAATTAGAAAAACTCACGTGCTCTAAATAATTCGTTGCTTGCGACAGTTGCAAGCAAATCGCAGCGGTTAAAATCTAAATTCTGCTACAGTTACATATTTTGAAGTAAAGTCTTACAGAATAATAACTATGAAGCACTAAAGGTTTGTTCAGCTCAATCGCATTTTTAGTATATTTGCGTTTTAAATATGCAAAACCAAGTGACAAAATATTAGTGCTGTGCTAACTCCGGGTTTTTCACCTCCGGCCAGAAAAAACTCTGGCTCCGTGGTAAGTTTGAATACATGTAATATTGGAATAATATTCCCACTCATAAATATATAATACAGTACATATAATTTATATTCTTTAGATAATTGAGGAAACAAGAAGTTAATAATCTTGAATCTCGATTGTGTTGCATGATGCCAGTTCGCAGATGGCAGTGTTGAGCGCCTGTTGTCGGAAATTGACTTTTTAGTGTCTTATGGTATCAGCAAAAGAATATAACTCCTCCACAAAGTCCAAAACTATGTAAGTACAGTATGCTTGTTTAAGTCCATTATAATTTTAAAAGTAGACCATTAAGTTGCAAGACCCTCTTGACAAGCTGGAAGACTCTCTGGCTAAAGACAGACTGAATGAGTAATTAAAGTATCTTAAATTAATGGCACGTTGCCAGTCAATGGGTTCATTGTAGAAGTACTAACCCTTTTACTTGCAATATGTCTAGGGGAGAGTCGTGTCACTAAATGGACATGGCGAGAAATTGTGGACATTAGGGGGCAGAGCTTAAGTATTATATATTCTGCCTTCATAAATGTCTTGGTTTCCATCAGTGGCTTATACCACATTTTTAACCACTCAGGATTATTTATTGGATGGTTATACCCCCATTCATAAGAATTTTTAGCTAGTCTGGGCAAACAGAAACGCTAGACATCCGAAAAATTTCAATGTTTATTATGTTTTGCTCGATTGACCCAACTGTCGACCTTTGTGCAAAAAATTATATACCCACTTTAACCTGTATCTGAAGTCTTCATGCCGACAATGTTTACGAATATATAAAATTTTGTTGCCTAGAAATTATAAGGCATGTTTGCAAAGCTCTTCTTAGACAGAGGCATCTTTAAAGCATACAAAATGGAGGAATATTTCAAAGAAGGACGATCAACTTTGGTTTGTTTATGTTCATGCACCTTTTAGGCAAGTTTCAGTGCCCGGTGTAGAATTTCACGGTTAAAATACATCGAGATTGCACTAAAATTATGTTAAAATACCAAGTCACGTATTAATCACAGAGATTTTACATGAAAGGTCCCTAGAAACACATATTGTATTGACAAGCCAAACAATATCCAACATTTTGCGTCCGTAGCTCAGAAGAGTAAGAAATCGGAATTCGTCGTGGCTCGCTTGAGATATGTTGCCTATTGCGCTATATATTTTACTTTACGCTTGCTTTGAAGATAAATATCGTGATACCGAATAAGATTTCTATATCATCATATTATAATTTTGCTATATAAATCTCCAATATTATGGTGGCCATTTTGTTTACAAGTCCAAGAGGTTAATGCGCATGCATGTCCACAATTCTCGCCATGATAAATATTTTCCCCAATTTCTCTTGCTGACCCATTGACTGGAAATATACATTCTCTACTTTGCTCTTTTATTCTCACGGTTTCAAGAATCCCCCCTTGACAAGTAAAATCATCTGCATGTCTTTCTATAGACAGAGTAAAAGAATAAATTCTAGCACATTGCCAACCAATAAGTTAACAGAAATACAGAAATATCTGCCAAACTCTGCTGCAAAGCCCCAGAATGTCCAGATTAATTCACTTTTCCAGCGCTGTTAATATTAATAAACAAAATATTTGTATTGTTTGGCAGATGTAAAAATGGTACATATCAAGATTGAAGAAGATTTCCGCTATATTTCCAAGACCGAAGTCGTCAAAAAAATTATTGAACTAGTTCATGAATTGCAGGTAGGCCCCTAATGATCTATTTTAGTGTATCTACGCTAGCATGTGTATTCTTATACTTCAGAAACACCACAAAGATCCTTTCAGATAGATTGTTCTAAATAATTGTGTATAAAGTTTCTTTTGTTTTTACTTTTTAGGACCATGAAGGTCCAAATTCCTTTTGTTAGAAACAAATTGGCAATCTTCCTGTCATCCTGATTGATCAGGAAAGTATATATCTCATTGTTGGAAAACACATTTTGCTGCGTACCGATGTTGGTAAAATAGCAGAAGCTGTTGTTGCCTTTTATCCCTTACTGATGGATTTTGATTATCCCAAACAACACGAGCTAAGATTGGAAGTCCTACAATTTCTTGTTCTTAAGGACAACCGAATCCCAAACAACATTAGTGCAATTTGCAGTACCATATTAAAGTCGTATTAAAAATATAAAGAAG